AGCCTGCTACTCTCCACTACATTCTAGGAACCTCTTCCTCCTTCTCTCCTGTGGGGCTTTGCCTACACCATGCCCTCTGCCTGAGATACCTTTGTCCCTTCATTCTCTTGTTTAAATTGTGGCTTGCAACCCCTACCTTCTCTGGGTCCCCTTCCAATTATTCCAGTTCTTAGTAACCCATTTAAAAACAAAAGACTAAGTCCTTGTGTATTTTAGAATCATCTGGCTTGTTTATTCAAAAGTCAGACCAACCCAGATCTCTCTGGAGGTGGTTCAAGGACACTGGACTTTTAAAACTTCCCAGGAAAGTCTGATGCTGCAAGCCCCACCTGGTCCAGTGACCTACACTGGGGAAATGCTGATAATATAGGGGTGGGTGAGCAACCCCAAGTTCACAAGGGCTACTGATATCCACGGCTCATACATATTCCCCTCATCTCTGCGAGCAGTGCGAATAATGAAAACCTCCATTTACTGAGGGCTCACCAGGCACAAGACACACTGAGCACTTTGCAGGCACTTTCTCACCTACTCTTGGCCAAAGTCACAGAGCTTGCCAGAGGGAAACCCAGCCTCGAACTCAGACTGATGATGCCCAAGCCAGTGCTCCTCTTCCTGGACCAGAGAGCCTTCAGCGTGGGCCCCTGGCTCAATCTGGGTATATTTCATTCTGTTGCAACAACTCTCCTAACCTTTGCTTTTGCTAAGTTATGGGGATTGAACTATGGCAAGGAAGAGGCCCCTTTCCTCAAAGGACCTCCCAGTCCAGGTGGGGAGACTGACACACACATAGCTAGTCACATAAGGAGGGCTGGGACAAGAACAGGGCACCCCATATGGGAAGGACGCCAAGGAGAGGGTGGGGTGGGGATGGGTTCTGTCCTGGGAAGGGAGAGAGGACCAGCTCCAGCCTCGGGAGTAGTTGGAATTTGCGCCAGACCTTGAGGGATGATAGAGAAGGGGATGGAAGGCATCAGGCATAGGTAAGTGCCTAAACACAGGCAGCACGGTGGGAAAGATCAGGTTGGCTGCTGCCCTGGGAAGGGGCAAACAAATCAGCCATTAAGGGCAGTCAGGGCAGATCATGAAAGGTCTCAAACAGGAGGCTGAGGAATCTGTCCTTATGCTGTGGGCAATAGGGAGTCATGGAAGGTGTGGAAGCAGGGGCAAGTCTGCCCACAGCACTAGCACAGGGAAAGACACAAGCAGTTAAGTGCTCAATGGAACTTCACTGCGTGATGTATTGCTGTGTGTCTTTCTCCCGTCCTCAGCGGGGATGGAATGACCAGGACCTACTGGATAATTCATGCCAGGAATGGAAGTGTTCCATAGCTCTACCTCCTCTCCTCCATTCAGCCCTTCTCTGGGAGGATGGGCACATTCGTCTACTTCTCTGAGCCCATTTCCTCATCTGTAAAGTGGGGACAACACACCAACCTTGCAGGTTTTGAGGCTGACATGAGATCAGGTGAGCAGAGTCCACGTGATATGTGCAGACCAGATGGCATAGGGCGAAAAGAGCACAGGCTTAGGGGACTTATGCGAATCCTAGCTCTGCCCCAGGGGATGCCATTCTCTCAGGGCTGGAGGGAGAATCCAATTCAGAGAGCTAATATACACACAGCCCCTGACACTCAGCAGGTGCCCAGAGCGCTGTCTGCTGCCTGTCTTGGCCAGCACGGTCCTGTTCTTCCTCCTCACTCCGGGAACACCACCACTCTCGCCAGAACGCTGCTCCTTCCTCCTGTTCCTGCTCCTGCTCAGTCCCTCTACAGCAGGGGGTACCTTGCAATGGGAGCCTTAGTTCCCTGCCGCTCGTCAGCTTAGTTGCCCCCCAACAGCTGGCACACCATAGATGTCTGTGCCCTTTGCAAAGAGTTTTCCCATGCATCATCTTACTGGGGAATTCACTCACCTACTGCCAATTTGTAAGCAGGACAGAGCTGATCCGCTTTGCACAGAGGAGGAAGCGGAGACCCAGAGAGGAAAGGAAGGACATGTTGATGCTGTTCCAGCACCTGCTAGGAACGTAACATTCATCAGTTCTCCAAAACATCCTCCCATTGCACACATGTGGACACTGAGGCTCAGAGAAGGGCAGCGACTTGTCCAAAGTCACACAGTAAGGAACTGAGTGCAAGCCCAGGTCTTTCTGACTCCAGAGTCTGGGATTTGGAACAAACATGTACAGCGTAGGGTTGACAGATCTGTCCCCAGGGCTGCTGTGAGGACCAGCTGGGGTAACAGGCATGATGGCAACTGGAACAGTGCTTAAGGACTGGGAATAGAAGTGAAATCGTGTCTGCCTCTACCTAATCACATGGCAAACAGGAACAGAAGCCTGGGGAGGGGGTGCCCAAGGTCAGGGCAAGGCCAAGCTCACTGCCCCCAGGACCACTCTCCCAGTTAAGGGCAGGGACTATCCCTCCCGACCTTTCCCTCCCTAGACAGTGGAAAATTCCAAAGTCCACCTGACCTGACCAGAGGGTGGAAAGAGCAGGAATTTCTGCCATGGTACACAGATCTGGAGCCTGGGGCTGAGGGCTGACATCCCAAGGCTTGCCACAGCCTCAGGTCCATACAGCCCACGCCCCCCAACCCCTGGACCTGCAGGAAGACTTCACCCTCCTCCCAGCTCATCAGCCAACGAAAGGGGCCATCCCAGAGACCCATGTTCTTTTTCTTTTTTTTTTTTTTAATTTATTTGACAGACAGAGATCACAAGTAGGCAGAGGCAGGCAGAGCGAGAGGAGGAAGCAGGCTCCCTGCGGAGCAGAGAGCCCGATGCGATGCGGGGCTCTATCCCAGGGCCCTGGGATCATGACCTGAGCCGAAGGCAGAGGCTTAACCCACTGAGCCACCCAGGCGCCCCGAGACCCATGTTCTTGGTGGAGATGGAAAGTTCTCAAGGCTAAGGGAACAGAGCACAGTGGTGGGTTTTCAGGTGTAACCAGCTGGTGAAGCAGATCATGGAGTTTGGGGAGGTCAGAGTGGAATGGAATGAGAGCCCCTCTGCCCCCTTGCTCCTCAAACTTAAAAAAAAAGACAACTATCATATGATCTCCCTGATATGAGGGAGAGGAGATGCAACATGGGGGGTTAAGGGGGTAGGAGAAGAGTAAATGAAACAAGATGGGATTGGGAGGGAGACAAACCATAAGTGACTCTTAATCTCACAAAACAAACTGAGGGTTGATGGGAGGAGGGGGGGTGGGGGGGGGGGGGATTATGGACATTGGGGAGGGTATGTGCTATGGTGAGTGCTGTGAAGTGTGTAAACCTGGCAATTCACAGACCTGTACCCCTGGGGATAAAAATATATTATATGTTTATAAAAAATAAAATTAAAAAAAAAAAAGAGCTGCAGACACTTTGTTTCAAACGAACTCCATAGCATGTGCTCCTCCCCACCCCATGTCCCCCATAGTCACTAGCAAGCCCCAGGGGAGGGACCCCCCCCACCCAGGCAGTGAGCGCTAAGGAAGAATAGCGGCCTGTCAGCCAGGGGCCAGCCCAGCCCTCACAGCTCAGCCTCAGTGTCCTGTTGAACGTGAACAATTCCACAGAACACCAGCATCAGGCAAGGCCATGCTGGGACCATGTTGGCAAATCGCAACCACTCCGGAGCCACGGCAGAGCAGAGGCAAGCACAAACACCGTTTCTGAGCCACCGGCGATGCCCACGCTGCCTTCTCCTGGCTGGGCAGACACCAGCTGGCCAACGACAGCTTCAGCTTGGACCTAGCCTTCCCTCCTTCTAGATCACATTGGCTAACCACACAGTTAGCCCTGCTTCCCGACACTATCCAGCATGGAGCAGAGCCCTGCTTCCCTAGACCCTCCCTTAAATCCCCTCTTGGTAAGCCCTTTCTCACGCCCTCTGAGACCCAGTTCCTGTGGAGGTCCATCCTTCTCACTGCCATGAGTAATAAACCCGATATTAACTTCGGGTGAGCAGCCAGCGACCCTCTCCCACACGGCATCGGCAGAACCGATTCTGTCAAATACCCCCACAGCCTAACTCCGTGGAAGTCCAAGGCAGGGGGCCATCACCTCCCTTTGGCACATAAGGAAAGAGGGAGCCCCAGAGGCAACCAGACTCGCCCAAGTTCACAGCGTAGGGTGACTATATCATTTACCATCCAAGCGGGATGACTTTGATAGTGAAAGTGTGCACGAACAGTCAGTGAGCAGGGACAGTGGGTATAAACCAGGACTGTCCAGGGCAGACCAGGCATACAGCATCCGGCAGTGGGATGTGGGGGGAGCCAGTACTGGCAAAGCCTGAATCTCACCATCTCTCCCTGCTGTCCCGAGCACAACCCTCCCCTGCCCCGAGCTCCCTAGGACTGGGTTAGTCTCTCTGCTGGCAGGCTGGCAGCCCGGGGCTCTGGCTTCTCTGGGGAGGTATGCGGAAGATGTGCAGTTGTGATTCAGGCATGTGGGGCCACTCCAGGCCTTCTGGACCACACAGCTGTCCCGCGGGGTCATGGCCCCCTGCTTGACATTTGCTTTCCAGAGGGTGCCCACAGTGCCTGCCAAGCACGATGCCTTATTTTGCCTGCCCAGAGGGGGAACAGGTGGTTTCACATGAAGGAATTTGCAGGTGAAAGTGACCCCTTTAAACACTGAAAACTTTATTTTAGCTGTTTGCCCAGACAGCCCTTCTGATGCAGGTCACCTGCTGCCTGACCTCAGGAAGCAGGACACAGGAACACGCGGCACCTTGCCATGTCCACTGTCTCGGGGCCATTGGTGGGACTGTGTTACAGCAGAGGGCATGCGCCTGGGGGCAGCCCTCACTATGGGAGGTAGTAATGACCCAGAATGAAAGAGGAGTATTTCCAGGGGCGTACACGTCTTCTTTTTATTTTTTAATTTTTTTTTTAAGATTTCACTTATTTATTTTATTGGGATGGGGGGGCAAAGTCTTGACTCTGCGCTTGGCACAGACTCAGCACTGTGCTGAGTTCGGAGTCAGATGTGGGGCTTGATCTCATGACCCTGAGACCAGGGCCTGAGCTGAAACCAAATGGAGGCTTAAGCAATGGGGACCACCTAGGCAACACAGGGGCATGCACTTCTGACTCAGCCCATGGGGCAGTCCTTTCCCTCGGCCGAGAGCCCCACTCTTAACCCAGAAGCCTAGCCTAGATGAAGGTCCCCTCCTCCCAGTGGGCCACGGTGCAAGTTCTGAGTGCACAGACCTCATGGGAAGTTGTGCCACTGCCTCCTTCTCCGAAGCTGCTGCCGTCCACGCTGGGGACACAGCACAGATCAGCCTCATCAAAGCGAGACACGGAAGAGTTGCAGTACAGTCATGTATCTTCAGGGCCTGCTCAGGCAGCCTGAGCCACCTGTCCCTGCATTCCATAGGTGGTGTGGTTGTCACTCGGCTGCTCTGGACTCCACTGTCCATTTCGAACTTCTCTGCGCCCTCCTTGGCTTGCACTCAGCACTCCGTTCCTAGCTTACAAGGTACCAAGTTCAGTAAATGGTAAGCTCTTGGAGGGCAAGAACCTTATCAGTTTATGTCTTTCTCCTCCTAAAAGTCCTGGCTTTGTGTTCAGCACACAGTAGGTGCTCAGCAAATGCCCCCGAATCCAACCGAATCAAGCCAGGAGGCTTCACCTCACCCCCCATCCTCAGCCAATGCAGACATATTCTGCAGGGAAGGGGGTTTCTCTGCGGCCTTTCTGCCTGCCTTTGTGACTCCGATGCAGGCCATTTGGAGGTTTGAATGCCTGAGGGTGAGGGGCCTGGGGGTCTAAGAGTTGGGGGACGGAGGCGTTATCTGCAAAAGGCTCTGTCAGTTTTGTAAGCCTTCGATGACTGCTGATCTGAGCACAGGAGATACCCAGGTGAGTAGTGCCGAAGTCTAGCCTTGAGCTGGCAGTCACCCTCCAGCAATGTACAAGGCCCACAGGTGGCACAGAGGAGCCAGAAGAAGTACCTCCTTCTGGGAGGTGATAGCATTAGGAAAAGCTTTCAGAGGACGGGCATCTGTGCCGGGGTTTGAAGGATGAGCATGAATTTGCCAGACACGGAAGCAAAGGGCATGCTGGTGGAGGGGACAAGCCTGGGACGGGCTTGGGGAGTGAAGGAGGACTTGGCATTGGAGGAGCAGAGGTTGTGCCATGGGGCTGACCAGAGAGAAAGTCAGAAGGTCCACGGAGGTGAGGCATGGCAGGTTTTGGATCTGGGGCGATGGGAAACACAGGACGAATTTGGGCAGGATAGACGTGGTTAGCTCTGATGAAGACAGATCACACCATCCACCTGGGTACGGGACAGTGGAGGGGACATCAGGGGGTGGCTACAGGACTTCACAGGAACAGGCACCCTGAGCCTTCACTGAGGATCAGGGCCTCAGGGATAGCACCAAGGAAGGTCCTGTTCAGAGGCCCACTATAGGGGGAGGCAGAAAAGGCTCTTGAGGGCCCCAGCGGCTGCAAATCTTCTCAGGGAACCGTATTTTACCTTCAACACTTCACCAAAGAAAGTGAACAGTGAAAGCAATGTGTCCCGGACAGCAAGCATCCCCTCCCTGAGCTCCGCTTTGCACCCTCCAAGTGCTCTCCAGCCCTCTGTCTCGCATGAACCTCCACATAACCCCATTTTGCAGACAGGGACACTGAGGCCCTGTGAGGTCACATGGGGGTTAGCAGCAGTGCGGGGCTAGAACCCAGGGAGCAGATCCATCTCAGGCCTGGGCATCAGGCTCAAAGCCCACTTCCTGGTCTGGGAGGGGGTCCCCAGGGCTGTCTGGCAACCCATAGTACAAGTCTTCTTCTTCCTGCTCTGGCTCCTCTGCGCCTGTGTCTGAAGTCTTCTCTTCCTCCTCCTTTGTCCTCTGGGATGGCTGCTGACAGCTGGACAGGGCAGCAGCCCACTGCTGGCTCTCTGAGGGCGCATCCTCTGTCATGGGGGCGTCAATCAGGGCAAAGTCGTGGAAGCAGTCCAGCTGGCACTTGCAGGCCCAGGGCTCCTGAGCTGGGCGATGAGGCTCCTCCCCCTCTGGGGGAGAGGGGTTGGGGCTGCCGCCCTCACTGGAGTCCACATCCAGCTCATCTTGGAAGGAAGCCAAGGGTGCAGGGCCCCGGGGACAGGCCTGGAGGCTGCAGGAGCAAAGGCCCAGAGAGCCAGGGTAGCCCCGAGTCAGAATGTCTGGGTCCCAGTTCTAGCCACTAGCTGCAAGGCCCAGGGTAGGTGAGTTTGCCTGTCTGGTCTCAGTGTCCTCCCCTATAAAGTGGGACAGCATAATCGTACTCTCTTATGGTTGTCTCTGAGGATTACAGCACATGGCGTGTGCAAAGTCCATTGCGCACATAGTAGGTGCTCAAGAAATGGGGGGCACCTGGGTGGCTCAGTGGGTTAAAGCCTTTGCCTTCGGCTCAGGTCATGATCCCAGGGTCCTGGGATCAAGCCCCACGTTGGGCTCTCTGCTCCGAAGGGAGCCTGCTTCCTCCCCTCTCTCTCTCTGCCTGCCTCTCTGCCTACTTGTGATTAAAAAAAAAAAAGAAAGAAAGAAAGAAATGGGATTATGTTATGATCCCCATGTTATGATCTAAACCAGGTTCTTTCCCAGCCTCTCTGGCCACTCAGGGGTCTCCTGTGGGCCCTCAGCCTCCACCACACGCACAGTGTCCCCTTCTGTTCCCTCATCACCTCCCCATTGGACTGGGAGCTCCTGCAGGGTGGGAGCCTTTGCGGTCTGGTGGGAGTAGGTACCTGGCAATGTTGGTGGGATGAGTGCATAAATGGATGGATGGGAACCCGGATCATCACCAGCTCGGGACGGGCCGGGCACGAGTGCCCAGCCCGAGGTCACAGAGTGCATCAGCAGCAGAGTTCAGATTTGAACTTGCTGTCCCAGCTCTCACAACAGCCCTCTGAGGTGGGAGTGATTGCTCCCACATGGGGAAACTGAGGCTCAAGAGGGTAAGAAACCTGCCAAAGCTACACAGTGAGGAGCTGGGATTTGAACCCAGGCCTGGGTGACTAAACCAGACTCGTGCGTCTGCTCTACCTGCTGCCTCTCAGGGTGTCCCCACACCCCCCCACCCTCTCTACTCCCAATTGTCCCCAACCGGCCCTGAGTGGACCACAGCCCTGCCTGCTTCACGCAGGAACTGAGCAGCACCCCACCCCTGCACTCTGCCCACTCACCCAGGCCTGCTCGGAGTCGGGCTGCTTCCTCCCTCGTCCTCATCCGAGCCTCTGTGGATGACCACCGCAGCCTCCATCCAGCCCTGAGCATCACGGGAGCCAGCTTGTCCTCCATCGCTGGCTCCTGGCTGGGGGGCCAGCAGCGGGTGAGGGTCCTCATGGTAGCCCATGACCTTCATCTGGATGTGACTGAAGTCGGGCAGGCTCTGGTCATAGGCGGCTTCCTCCCACAGCCTGACGTATGGGGGCTGGGGGCTGGGCAGGGCACAGCAGAGAGCAGAGAAAGAACAGGCAGGTGAGTCCACTTAGCGAACACCACAGGAGGAGACATTGGTATTGTCCCCCCACCCTTGCTGCTCTGGACATCTGGTCTCCCCTAATCTCAGGACTTTAGGGGAGGTAACTGTACCCAGTCCACAGAGAGGAAAACTGAGGCCCAACAAGTCTTGGCAGAGCTCAGACTCTCAGACCAGTCAGTGCTCCTCTCACTGCACGTCCCCAAGGTTAACCCCAAGAGTCCACTTGTGAACCGCAGACCAGTTTGCATTGACGGAGCATGTGCTGCGCTGCAGACAGTGAGCTAAGAGCCCACGACTCCCACCGCATTTATCCTGCACCATGAAGCAGAGCAATCGTTCCCGCGGTTCGGTTGAGGACGCAGCAGCAGCAATAGCCCGGTTAGTGCGTGCTCCTTGCCTCAGGCTGTGTCAGGGGGCTCCTCGAATCCCCACCTTACCTGGGAGCAGGGAAGCATGGAGACTTGGGCTGGGTCGCCCCAAGCGCCTCAAACACCAGGTTACAGTGCTGCGGCTCCAGACGTCCCATCCCGTCCCCTTCCCTATGTGCTCTACAGCCCCTTCGGGAAGTGAGGCACAGAGACTAGATCCCTTGCCCACGATCACACAGGAGGAGCCCAGGGCTCAGCTCCGTACAGTGGCTCATCCTGTGTGACCATTCTATGCCCACCCAGGGTCTAGCCACCTCACTCCCCTGGGGACATGTGGTCACTCTGTACGCCAGGAACAGAAAATAGCATCACTGCCTTTTTCTGCAAGCAAAGCAGAGAGTTCCAGAGCCCTGGCCACAGACCCTGGACCTGCAGCCCGGCCTTCTGAGTGCAGAGTCACAGCCTCCAGGGGGTGTGGAGGGTGGGAGGGTGGGAGCGCTCGCTGCTGTGTCCCGGGGAGCCAGGCCTGGCACCTCCACGGAGGCAAGTCTGGTCCGTCCATGGCTCCCTGGGAGGTTTGAGGCCTGTGATTATACTTCTTTTTTTGTTTGCTTGCTTGTTTGTTTTGTTTTAGAGAGAGAAAAAGAGAGGGTGGGGGGGAGAGGGAGAGAATCCCAAGCAGGCTCCATGCCCAGCACAGAGCTAGAGGCGGGGCTCCATCTCATGAACCTGGGATCGTGACCTGAGCTGAAATCAAGAGTCAGATGCTTAACTGACTGAGCTACCCATGCGCCCTACGATTGTGTTTCTTGAGCCTCAGTTTTCTGCTCGTGTAAAGGGCCCGACAGCCCCACTTCCCAGGGTTCCTATGAGGACTGGAGGAAGTAATGAGTGCCAACTGTTTGCTTTGATCTCAGGTTGATAGAAAACATGTCTTGCTAACGAAGGCACACTGAGAGAGGGCCCACCACGCACCAGGTTCTGTTCTTAGTGCTTCCTTACATTAACTCTCTCACCCCTCCCTGAAGCCCTGGGAGAAAGGTGTGATTAGTACCCCTATTTTGCAGATGGGGCAAAGAGAGGCACGTTGCATTCCCCAAATCCCACAGCTGGTAAATGGAGAGCCACAGGGCTGTGTCTGGCTGTCCACATGCCCCTTGCTTGCCATAGGAGATGTCACAACTGTTTGGGATTTAGGGCTACACCTGTTTTTTATTTGGGTCAGCCACGAATTCTCCCTCAGACAGGACAAAGTCCCTGAGCCTCAGTTCCCTAATTTTTAAAGTGGGGGATAATAATGCCTCCCTTGTAGAACTGAGGGCTCAAAACAAGCTGTGATTTCAAACAGCATGCTCTCAGTAAGCGAGGGGCCAAAGCAGGAAGCTGGACCCAGCAGACAGACAACCCCCCACCCCACTCCATCACCCTCCACTGAAAGAGGAGACTGGCCTGAGGGGCTCCCCCTGCTCCACCCCTGTCCTGGAGAGCCTGACACCTACCTCTTCATCTCAGCAGCGAGCCCATTCTCCAGCAGGCCCAGCGCCTTTGGGGACAGGATGCCTTGGAAGTCAGAGTCAGCGGGTATGAAGGTGATCTGCAGGACAAAGGAAAGAAGGCTTCTCTGTGGCTCCCACAGCCATCCTGACCGGGGCGGGCCTCCGTGTGACAGCAGAGGGGCCTGCTCAGGGCCCAACTCCAGGGGGTGGAGGCATCTGGGGCTCTTCACCCAACAGACATTTACCGGGCACCAGCTGTGTGCCAGGCAGTCTTCCAGGCACTAGGGGGCAGCACTGAGCAAGTGAGCCAAACATCCCTGCCCCAGAGGACGGGTATCTTGTCACTTCCCAGGGTACTTGTCCGTTGCCCAGAAGGTGCCCGGCACAGCCTAGGGGCTTCATCCATATCTGGTGAGCTAGTGTCATGTATTTCTTGGCACAGAGGTTGTGGTGGGGGACAGGGAGGTGAATGGCTGTAATTGCACCCATTGGTCCCCGTACTGGAACATTCAGGGATCAGGAGGTCTCTGCAAGTGCAGCACGTGGGGCAGGGACCGGGTGGCAGAGGAGAGGCAGGTCATAAAGGAGTCAGTGGGATGAGACAGAGAAGCCCTGCTTTTGGGGTCTGGGAGACTGTGGAAGATTCCTTCCTTGGGCAGGTCTTCTCTCTGCTCAGAGCCTCTATGTGCCTCTCTATAAAAGGGGCTAACCTCAAAGAGATATTGGCGGGCACTGTTCACAACAGCCACAAGGTGGAAAGAACCCAAGTGTCCAACAGCAGATGAATGGATCAAGAAAATATGGCACATACACACAATGGGTTATTATTCAGCCTTAGAAAGTCGGGCAGCTCGGATACATGCTACGGCATGAACGAGCCTTGAAGAAATAAGCTAGTAACAAAGAGACAGATGCTGTAGAAGTCCAGTTCCATGAGATTCCCACAATAGTCAAATTCATAGGCAGAGTAGAATGGTGGTTGCCACAGACTGGAGGGAGAGGGGTGGGGAGTTTCCGTTTAAGGGGTAGTAAGTTTCAGTTTGGCAAGATGAAAAGACTTCTGGAGATGTGCACAACAGTGTGCGTTTAATTAACACTACTGAACTGTAGGGGCACCCTGCTCGCTCAGCTGGGGGAGCGCGTGACTCTTGATCTGAGAGTTGTGGGTATGAGCCTCATATTGGTATAGAGATGACTAAAATATTAAAAATGTATGTATTTTAAAAAACTGTACACTTAAAAATGGTTAGGACGGTAAATTTTATGTTATGCATATTTTACCACAATTTCTTTAAGTGGGGCTGGAGATACCTGTCTCCTAGGGTTGCCGTGAAGATCCCATGAGATAATGTAGAAGGAAGCCCCTGGCACAATGCTGGGCACATAGTAGCTGCTCAGTAAACCATAGTTCATGCTACTGAAGATGAAATTATTTGACCTCTTTGAGTCTTGCTCTCCTCAACTGAAAATTTGTTCAACAAATATTTGACAAGACCCCACTGTGTTATAACAGGGTCATAAACAGCAACTCTTTTTGTCTCTTCCTACAGAGCGTGATGAGTAAAAGACACTTGTCTGCCCCAGAAAACTCCTCATGCTGGGAGGAAGGGAATGATGGATGGAGAGGTTCCTAGAACTCCTATGCAGAGTGAGCCTCCTTGAAACGTCTAGAAATAAGGAATGGATCTCAGTAGCTTCCACACTCTCCAAGTACCCTGCACTTGCCAGCTGGCTCTGTATTTCTTAGAAGCTTCCCCTTTCTCTGCCTCATTACCTCATGGCCCAATCAACACTTCCTCCCATTTCTCCTCTTCACCACCATCACCATAATCATTATCACTATACCCACTACGCCCACCTCTACCATCACCATTATTACCATTACTACAACCATCACCATCATCACCACCACCACCATCATCTCCATCAACATCATCATCATATCATCTTCTCCATCACCACCATCACTATCATCACCATCACCACTACCAACACATCACCATTATCACCATTACTACAACCATCATCATCATCACCACCACCATCATCTCCATCAACATTATCACCATTACTACAACCATCATCTATCATCACCACTACTATCATCATTACCATCACCACCACGACTACCATCACCATCATCACCACTACTACAACCATCACCATCATCGCTACCACCACCATCATCATCTCCATCAACATTATCATTGTGTCATTACCATCACTATCACCATCATCACCACCACTACCACTATCATGATCTCCATCACCATCATCATATTATCATCACTATCATCATCATCATCACCATCATCATCTCCATCACCACCATCACCATCATCACCACCAACAACACATCAACATTATCACCATTACTACAATCATCACCACCACTACCACCATCATCACCTCCATCATCATCATATCATCACCATCACTACTACCATCATCAACTCTATCAACAACATCATCATATCGTCACCATCACAATTACCACCTTACTACAACCATCACCATCATCACTACCCCCACCAGCATCTCCATCATCCCCACGATGATGATCACTATTACCATCATCACCATCACCACCACCACCACCATATCATTGTCACCATCGTCATCATCATCACCATTACTGCTATCATCATCCCCAGCAGCATCATCATATTATCATCACATCACCATCATTGCCATCATCTCCATCACCACCATCACCATCATCACCACCAACACGTCACCATTATCACCATTACTACAGCCATCACCATCATCATCATATCATCGTCACCATAACCACTACTACCACCATCACCATCATCATCATATCATCACCACCATCACCACTACTACCACCATCATCACCTCCATCAATATTATCCTCATATCATCACCACCCCACCACCATCTCCATCATCACCAGAATGATGTTCACTATTAGCATCATCATCATCACAATACATCATCACCATTATCACCACAATGAAGAGCCTGATAGAAAAGGAAAGTCTAGAATGTGTTAGAACACAAGTCCTTTAAAGAGATGGGGACAGACAGAGTTGAAACTGGTGAGGGGATACCAGACTATGAAGATCCCAGAACATCAGACTAAGCAGTTCACTGTTTACCCAGAGGCAATGGGAGCCCTGGAGAAGTTCTCAGCAGGAGAATATACAGACAGATTTGTGTTTCAGCAGAGCACCAAGCAGTCACCAAAGGAAGGGAGCAGAGGGAGAGAGGGATACCCATGGAGAAGACAGATCCATTCACCACCAGTCAGGGGCCTGGTCCTAGAATCTAGTGAAGTATGCAGGAGAAGGGACTGGGGAGCTGTGGAAGACACAGAAGCCAGACAGGGACAGGCCCTGCTTTCTCTGCCAACCCTTCCCTTCTCCCAGCAGCCCAGCCCCCCTCAGCCAATGGACACAGCATCCCTGACTGTCTCATCTTCCAACTTTGCCCCATTTCCTCCTCCTGTCATGCCTGAAGTCCGGCTGACCGCCACATCTGACCAAGTCTACTTCAAAAAGTCAATGAGATAAGCTCAGTAGAAGCTCAGTCCTATATCCAACCACAGCAGGGACTGGACATTTGCTGAATGAACAATGTCTTCTCCCTTCCTGCAGTCCTGGGTTCAGGACATGAACCTGCAGTGCAGTGCAGGGGCCCATCACTTCTCACCAGCCCAGTGTAGGAGCTTCCTCCACTGGCCTAGTTGCCCCTTCCTCCTCTCAAGATGTCAGCCTGATAACTTCCCTCAACTGCAAAGATAGTCGTGTCCCTCTCTTGTCTCATCAACTAAAGGGTAAGGTCCAAATTGTTTAGCATGGCATCCCAGGCCCTGTGGAGCTGAGTCCATTCTGTCTCCACCGTCCTTCTGACTGCCACGGGGCAACAGCCATGTTGACCCACTCTCCTTGCTTTTACCTCATTCTTTTGATTGTGCTGTTCCTTCTTCCTGGGAATTTTCCCCCCATCTTCTCTGCCTGGCCAACTTCAACTTAGCTTACAAAGGCTAGCTCATCTTCTCCGTGAAGCCTACTCCCTCCCCGACAGGCAGAAAATTATCTCCCTGACAAGATTCCCAGTCCTTCAAAGACAAGGACAGCTCAAATCCTGTTACTGTTATATCTTAATTGGCTGATTCCCTACCCTTATATTTATATTTTGTTCAATCCAGAAAATTCCCATTTGTGGGGCACTGAGAAGGAGGGGAGGATGGGCACCAGCATTTGCTGAGGGCTCTGATGGGCCAGGCACAGAGACGATGTGCGAGACAGGGCCCCTCCCTCGAGCACACCTCCCGGGTCCACAGCACACTTTCCTTCCTTGCCTGAGTCTCTGAAACACACACTCACATAGACCCACACCAGTGCCCACACCCCTGCACACACATTCAGAGACCTGACCAATGCCACAAACACCATTCCTGAGGACAATGTGTGATGCTGGCTCACCGACACAAGACCCCACTGGTTCCCCACATGGGCCCATGCAAGGCTCCACCAAGGTCACAGAAGAGGGGCAGAGGGAGGAGGGAGTTGAAGCTGGGCCTGCTAGACACGAAAGTGCACACTGTTTCTACCCTGCCTTGCTGCCTCCCCAGCACCTGAACACGTGAATCTATCAACAGTTACTCATTAATACCCAGTAGGGTTCCCTCTCCCCTTTCTCCCTCACCCGTCACTGCCACTGGGTCCCTCTCCCTTCCACCCCCCCACCTCCCTGCAGAGCCACCTCTGGTAAAGGGGGAGAGGACAGGAAGGACATGGCCCTCCATACCCCTGCTGTCCCCTTCCCAGGCCCCAGGATCCAGCCTCCTCCTCACTGGGAGGATGACAACAGAGGTGGGGACACAGGTGGCTTGGGTCCTAGGGACCTCTTCTCACAGTGACCTGTGCTCAGGGGCATTGCACAGACAGAGGCTAGTTGACTGTAAACTGCTCAGTAAATGGCTACAAACCAGTCCAGACCGCCCCAGCACCGAACACACTGAAGCCCGGGGCTGGCCCATGGAGGGGGCAGGGCTGGGGAGAGCCGGGCCCAGGCCCCTAGGAGCTTCCTCCCTCCTCCCCAGAACCCCTGAGCACAGCCACCCAGGTGGGAGGTGGAAGAGGGCTGCATGTCGTGGGGGCTACCTAGGACCTGGAGGCCTACATCCTTACGTGTCAGGACCCATGGAGCCCCTCGAGGCACCCCCTTTCCCCCACCTCTTCCTGACACACACTTTGTGCAAATGAGGAAACAGGCTCAGAAAGGGAAGGCGCTTGACCAAAGTCTGCCCAGCAGTTAGAGACAGAGCCCAAGTTCTCTCCTTCTCTCCCTGGGTCTGTCTGACCAGTTGTGTGATCTTGGAAAAGTCGCTCATCCTCTCTGGGCCCTGAAGGATTACAGCTCCTGACATGGTCCACACATTGTTGGGAGGACCAGCAACAGTGAGATTGGAAGCTCTTCTCCTATATACAACACCCTACTCGTCACAAAACAGTCCTCCGTCCTGTCTCTTCTCTGGTCTTCATAATAACTCCGGGAGGCTGGAAGAAGTAGGAGCTTGGGGCCCCTTTTACAGATGAAAGAAACCAAGGTTCAGAAAGGCAAAGTCCCACAGAGTTTGAGACAGAGCTGGAACTAGAACTCAGGACTCCCAAACCAGTGCTCTTCTCATCACTAAGTCACTGATAAGGCTAGGAGTACATTAAATGGAAGAACAGAGCGCTGCCCCACCCACGTTGGCAAGGTTACTGCAGACCCACCCCGGAACTCTCCGCAGCTCCTGGACACAGGGAAAGCCCTCCAAGGGGGAGGCTTGTACTTTAAGTCCTACGTGGCTGAGCTGCAACCCTGACTCTGACACTTGGGAGCTGTGGAAGCTCACCTTTCTGAGCCTGGTACTTCTTCACTCCACTCTGAAATGAACTACAGACAGTACCAGAAAGTTCCAGATGCGGATGAACTATGTACTCCGTGAAAGCAGGAATGCCTGGCAGGCGGGAAACTACTCCTTAGCTGTGGCCACAAGCACAGAATCGTGGGTTGAGTTTCCTGCGTCTCCTTCATGGTTCAGGGTTCCAGACCCAAGGGGCTTCTGATTAGTCTTTACATGAGGGAGGCATGCAGGGAGGGACGGAGGGATGGAGGGAGGGATGGAGGAACAGAAGGAGGGATCGAGGGAGGGAGGGATGCTCATGAGGGCAGAGGGAAGAAAAGAGAGAGGGGAAGAGGGGAGGATAGAAAAACCAGTGAAAGATGAGGGACCATACCCAGAACAAAATCACAGTCCCCAACCCTCCTGGGCCTGGGCCAGCAGCCCTCCCAACTTGGCCACTTGCCTACCTTGGGGTAGCACTGGCACATACTCCAGATGACGCCCCCGATCACCATGATGCAACCCATGGCATAGAAGGTGCCATAGACCTGGGGCCGGTCGTGGCTCATGAGGAACGTGCCAAGGGCCAGCAGGAAGAGCCCCAGCACAATGAAGCCGATGCGGAAGGTCTTCTCGTCGGCCATGGCTGCCTGGCCCAGCCCCGGTGTAAAGGGGGCCGGCGAACTCCTGCAGACACCCGCACACACTCACACAGAGAAGGACGACACTCCAGGACCGCGGCAAGCTGGGGCTCCAAGTTCAAGGGAGGGAGGGTCCCTCCAGGGCCAGCTGCAGTCAGGCGCACCGTTCACCAGGCTGGAGGAACTACGCTTCGATGGCCCTGTGCCACCCCCCTCCACCTTCACTCCCTCTCACCTTCCCTCTGGGCCCAGCCAACGCTTGCGTGTGCGTGTGTGTGTGTGTGTGTGTGTGTGTGTGTGTGTGAGAGAGAGAGAGAGAGAGAATCTGAATGAAGGAAAACATGAGGGAGGGACGGGGGAGGTTTCAGGGGCTGAGCCCTAGCCAAGACTTCAACATCACCTCATTTGCCTACGTAGGGCTGAGCTGGGCTGGACAGGTGGCCCCGTGCCATCCGGCCAGGGAAGCAGGGTACAATCGCACAGCCAAAAGACACAGACGTGCTGCTGGAAGATTTCAGGGTCCCCCAGGCCAGCATTTTAGGATCCTGAAGCACTCTGGACTCTTCAAGATCATGGGCCCATCTGGGGTTCAGGAATAATAACCCTTATCTACTGGACAGTGGCTTGCCGGCATGACCCTGTTGTAAACGTGTTACAGGTATTAACTCACTGAAGGGGACCCCGTGAGGCAACTCCTACCAGCTCCACTTAACAGAGGAGGACAGGGGGTAGAGTGCCCAAGGTCACACAGGTAGAAATGGCACAGCAGCTGGAACTGGAACCCAGAGGCTTTGCGCCTAGCCACCACGGGGTACCGCCTCACTGGGGATGAAGGGCCAAAGCATGGGCTCTGGTGGCCAGGGTGCAGATTCTGGCTCCTCTGCCAAAGGGCAGTGTACTCTTGATCAAATCCCCCCTCTGTGCCTCAGTTTTCCTCCCCTATACAATGGGGACAATGACTGCAGCTCCCAGGACCAGCGCTATCTCCAGGCCTAGCCTCCCTGGGTTCTTCTTTCTCATACTCTGTGCTCCTCCAGACCTGCTCCCAATGATCTGACCCCTAGAAAGTCTATGTGTGTTGATGCCCCTGTAGGGGAGTCAATGACTGACGGGAGTCCCTGGCCTCCTAACTTCGAAGCTGTCTTCACCCTCAAAATAGCATTCTAATGTTGGAGTTTCAGTCCTGAGGAGGGGCTGATGGGAAAAATCAGATTCCTTTATGGGATTACAGGAGAATGAAGGCCAAGGGGATCTCTAGAGGAAGACGGTAACTTTCTAGTTTTTACAGGGTTAAATTGCCACGGCGGCGGGATGTGGCCTCCAAACTTAGTAGGTTTAGTGGCAGTGGGGGAGGAGGGTTGTTGCCACCACATTCTCCCTCCTCCCCAGCATGGGCTGTGCTTGTCCCCGGCACCACACCTATGCTCACACCCTCTGCCTGGTGTTCCTGCCCACAGACACTTTTTCCAGCAGCGGCTTTGCTTCACCAGCCCTCAGAACCAGCAGGGCTGCACTCTACAGTTTGCAGGGTTGGGGGGGTTCCCTATAATTGCTCAGGAGACCCTCACAAATGAGAGCTTGGCAAGGGGTCAGGAAGGGCTGAGAGTCACCCAGTCACATCCAGGTTTGATTCGCCAGGCGAACTTGGGCTGGTGGCTCCACTCTGGGCTTGAGACTTGTCACCTGTGCAAGCGGGTGGTGGGGAGTGCGGATGTGCGCGGTCTCCGTCCGGCGGGAGCCTCTCGCGCCCCCTGGTGGCCGTCATGACACACGCTCTGGAAGGCGCTCCGCACCCAGTTCAATCAGGCGTTTCTCTGTCCCTCAGCCCGAAGTTATCGCGCCCATTTCACAGGAGAGGAAATGGAGCTCGGGGAGTGGCAGGGACTTGCCAGTACCTCCCCAAACTGAGTCGGTGGCTAAACGAGGACAGAGACCCATGTAGTCCAACCCCAATGTAGATAGATCTGGTCCTTAGCCCTTCCAGAAAGGCCTCCCAGTCACCCGAGCGTTGTCCTCCGCACCCCACCTTTTATCTCCTCTGCACGACCCAGCCTCGGTTCCCTCTTTTCTCTCCTCTTAAAAAGGGGAGTGACAGCGAGTAAACTCTGGGACAAGTAGGTGCTCCCTAGAAGGTCTCATGTAACCTTTCCCAGAGAGCCGCGGTGATGGTTACAGGGGAACATGTGTGTCCCCGTTCTCCCTGCTTTCCGCTGCTCCCCTCCCGCCTGCTTGTGGCCTTTTCCTCCCAGCCAAGCAGGGGTCAGTGAGAGAGCAGGTCAGAGATCTTATCTCCCAGTAGAGGGCGCTCTAACCACTGTTTTCTTCCTCTCAGATCCACTCAGGATCCTTCCAAGATCCTCAGAGGCAAACAGGGAAAAGATCACACCAATTTGACAGATGCAGAAACTGAGGCTCTTCGAGGCAAGGTGAGCTACCCAAGGTCACAAACCTTGTAAATAGCAGAGCAAGGAATTCAAACCAGGTCCCCAACCAGTCTCTTGCTAAACACCTACTCCCTGCCAGACAACCTGAGGTACGAGGCCCTCTTGATAAAGATGGGATTTCAGAGAGCAGTGGCACTTGGTCTCACTTTCTGGGCCACAGTAAGGCTCTGAGACGTGGATGAGGCCTAGCACATGCACAAAGAAGAGAGAGGGATAGACTTGGGGGAAGGCAGGGAATGGGAGGAACAAAGGGACAGATTCATAGAAGGGATCCTTAAGAGGTCATTTAGAGTTCTGTCAGGGCAGGAAAAAAATTCAAAGTGATCAGCAAGTTCAAAGGCCCAGGGGTAAGTAATGGCTGGAGTGAAAACTCTAAATGCTAAACACACCCTCGCCCCCTCACCACCTTACCCTGCATACTCCTCCCCTATCTCCTCAGACCTGTCCCTCCCATGTCAACTCCATCCTTCCAGCATTATTCAGGCCATTACCTGAGTACCCCGGCCAGCATCCTTACCTCCTCTTCACACCCATATCCTGTTGGCTCTACTTCTAAGATGTAAAAGTCCAATCACTTTTCACCCCCAAATTCTACCCATCACTCTGGTCCCAGCTCGCATTATCTGTCTCCCTGAATGGTCCCTGCTTCTACCCTTGCCCCCTGAAGTCTCTTTTCAACCCAAATGCCAGGTCAGGGCATGTCATTGCTCTGCTCAGAACCCTGAAAGGGCACCCTGTTTTATCAGAGTAAAAGCCAGAGACCTCAAAACAGCCTACCAGTCCCTGGATAATTTGTCCTTGCCGCCCACCCAACGCCCCCCACCCCGAGCTCATCTCCTGCCCGGCCTCCTCTCACTACTCCAGCTCCCTGGCTCCGTACTCTTCTCAGAATACAATGCAACCCAAGGCCTTTGCACCTGCTGTTCCTTCTGCCTGGAAAACTCTTCCTCCAGACACTTGCCGACCCCCTCCCTCTCCTTCTTCAAGCTTTTGTCCAAACGTCATCTTCACGTTGAGGCCTTCTGCTTTGACGTCTAAAACTGCAGCACTCCCTCCCCCCAGGGTGTCCTCTTTTCCTGACTGGTTTTTCTCCAGTAGTACACATGCGCATCTATCATGCTAGTTACATTGTTTATTCATTCGTCTCTTGTCTGTCTCCTGCTAAGGCAGGGGGAACTTTGTTTTGGTCACTGTTTTAGCCCCAGGAGCCAGAATGGGTGAGGTTCTTGATTGATACTGTGGAATGGAGTGATGCGTAGAAGTTCCAGAAGAGAGGGAGGCCAGAGAGAGAAGCACAGGCAGGCTTGAATGAAACTCCTGGCTCTGTCGTTGTTCTCTGTCATTTTACTTATCTGAGGCTCAGTTTCCTTGCCTGGTAAATGGGAACACCACCTGTAGAGCAGCCGTGATGATGGGAACAATGCAGAGGCCTGCCCTGACTTGCAGTCCGCCCTCAGGGAATGCTGCCCTTATCCAGCTGATTGAGCCCCAGGACTTTGAAACTGCTTGCTGTGTGACCCTGGGAAGGTTACTTAACCTCTCTGAGCTGGCTTTCTCATCTGTAAATGGGGTGAGGTAGAAATGGGGGATGCAGAATGTAGCTGGGCAAAGAACAGACATTTCTACCACATCTGGAAAGTAAGTCTAGGTAATGAGCTCCCTGTCACAAGAGATATGGGAGCAGAGCCCAAATTTACACTGGTTGGAGGGAGGTTACTAACAATATCTGACATCTCTGTGTACTCATAGACACCTGCCCCTGGGCTAAGATGTGCATTTATTCTCGGAAGCATTAATACTGTGCCTGTGGGGTCACTGTGGCTCCCAATGCCAGCTGCTATCACCTCGTGTATTCCTCACAACTCAGCTCCTTGGGTAGGACCTGGTCCTTTGTCTCTCTCAATTCCCATTTTACACCGGAGGAAAGCAAGACAGAGAGGCAGAGCCACTTGTTTGTTCAAGGTCACTTGACCAGTATGGGGTGGGATCCATGCCCAGGAGGCCTGAATTTGGAGCCCACCTTCTCCTGATCATAAACTCTGTGTGTGACCTCAGGCAGTCCTGCCCCTGCCTCTGGGCCCCCCTCTTCCCGCCTGGACCACAAAGTTCCCCAACTGACAGCCAGCGCTAACGGCCAGTTGGACTACAGAAGAACCATCCAGCCGGGCCCAGGCAACCCCTGGCGTCACGAGAGATAATAAGACGGATTTATTTGAAGCGGTTTGTTACACAGCGACAGGTAAATACAAGAGCATTCAGCAGCAATCATTTGTCACGTGCCTCGTGTGTACCAGGCCCTGTACTGCACACCGGAAGCTCATCAACCGGCCCTGGCTCTGGGGTCTGCTGGGGGCCTTTACCCTCTCCCGCCCGAAGTCTGAGCCGGGCCTGGGCAGGAGCCCCTCGTGCCAGGAGCTGTCTCTCCAGAGATGTCATGTACGGCACCAGTGATGCTCTCGTAGTTGGGCGGCTGCAGGGGGCGCTGGGTTCCGAGCAAGGCATCCCCAGAGGCACAGCCCTTCAGGCTTTCCTGCATGGGGTCCACGGGTGGTGTCGGGGGCCCCTTGGCAAGTGGGCAGCACACAGCCTCCTCGTAAGTGGGGATGGCAGCCACCACTGGGAGCCTGCAGGACAAAAGAAGAATGGCTATAGCAGGGGCGAGGGTGAAACAGCAAGGAAGGCTGGGGCTAGGGAAGACTTCATGCCATGGTCCAAACCCTCTGTGGGCCCCCCAGCACCCTGGCTACACTCCTGGAGCATGGCGTGAGCCAGCCCTGCCAGCCTCAGCCCTCCCACTCTGCCCTCCCTGCCCACACACACTCCTTGCTCCTCCTCAGTTCTCTTTGCAGGGGAAGTCCATCTGCTCCCTGCTGGCCAGTCCCCGCTTGTCCTGTGAGACAGACTCCTCTGCTAAGCTCCTTGACTGCTCCCTCCCCCAGCAGAGCTCTGGGCTCCCACAGCACTGTCACCCTCTGTCACTGCCCCATCAGGGGCCCGAGGTCCTCCCTCAGGGCAAAGATTGACGTTGAGCACCCAGGGGCCAAGGGTAGGGGTCTGGGGATGTTTCATAGGCAGAAAGACTTCTAGCTTATTGTAATATCTCTTACAAGATCTGGAGTTGTGGATGCTCAAGGCAGGATGGGAGACATCAGTTCTCCTGCCCGAACGGATGCTTGAGGCCCCATGTGGTAAGTCTGCCAAGTGGCTGCCTCTGTTTGCATACCTCCAGAGACGGAGAGCTCATTATCTATCAGGTGAACCAATCTATCTGTAAACAGCCTGGCTTTCCTGTGACCTGCCCTACCTCCAATGAATGAACTACCTACTCTAGAGGGACTTAAGGCAGAGACCAGATCCTGTGAGGCTTCTGAGACCAGGCTCCACAAGCTAGATTCCAAAAACAGGTTACCTGTATCCTAGCCACAATGCTGATGGGAATGAGGTTGGCCCTCAGTCCTCTCAGAACCCTGGTGGGTCACCTCTGGGGAATTGTGCTTCCTCCCCTCCCAGGACCCTGGCGGGTGGGAGTGTCGCTGATCCCAGGTCTGGTCTGTTTATGCTTTGGGATGACACTGCAGGATACAGGAGCTGACCAGGTGATCCTGAATGTCGCTTATGAGTCTGGGCACTGGCTAGTTCAACTCTCTGCTCTGCCCCATTCTTGGTGGAAGATCATCGGGTCAGTAACTCCATTAATCTGAGCCTCAGTTTCCCCATCTATAAAATGAGGACAATAATGGCACATATGTCATAGGACTATATGAAGATTAATTGAGATAATCTAGGGGAAGGGGCACTTAGCATAAGCTCCATAAATGGGAGCTGACAACAAAATCTCAAAAGCCTCCGTGAGGAAGGGGTGTGGGGAACAAAACTTATCACAGATCTTCTGTACCTTAAGTGCTACCCGGGCTCGGAGAGGCTGTCACTTGCCAGAGCTCATCAGTCTGGAGCGGATGGGGAAGCAGTTCAAGCCACACCAGGGAGTCTGCCTGCACAGACTGGAGGGAGCTGGCCCTGGGGGTCAGAAGAGGTGGTGGAGGGAACTTCATTCTACAGGCCGGTGTGGGGGTGTGCTGGGCACCGGTTGCTGCCCCTCACGGGAGCACCTCTCACCTGCCAGGGCCATGGTCCTTTTCTGGACAACGTGTCTTCTCAGCCCGAGCCAACCACAGCCCTCAGAGTGATCCACTAGGGAGACAGGTTTGCTGCTCCAGTCACAGATAGGGTCATGGAAGAAGCCAGTGGAGAGCCTAGGGTTGACCCCCCAGCCTGTGTGCCAGCCTGATGGAGGGCACCAGCCAGGAGCCAAACCTGGGCTCCCTGTCTAGTGCTACTGCACGCTTCTCTCACAGACCCTCCTCTTCTGGAAGACAGCCCGGGAGCCCTGCAGCTGAGAAAGCTCTCCTCTGAGCTCCCAGCATCCTTTGCACGTGAGGGCAGGCAAAGAATATTGCTTCTGGAGACAAGCAAGCTAGATTCTGTTGTTATCTGTTGTTGCATGACCCAGGCATGTTCATGCAGCCTGAGCCTCTTTCTTCTCATCTGTAAAATGGAGATGACAATTCCCATTTTATAGATTCAGGGTGGGGGAAAATGGAAAAAGCTCTGACAACACTCAGAAAAATGTGGGTCATACAGCTTCCAGAGCCCTATGTCCTCTGCCCTGCTCCCCTCCCAGCCACACCCCTGCCTCTCTCTGCCCTGTTTCTCCAAGCCCTGGAGACCTGAGACAGATTTGGGGTATGCCTGGGATCAGCCGGGCAGGTGACAGCTGGCAGGTCAGGGCACAGAGGCCGGGTAAGCTCAGCCCACAGCAGGAAGTTTGCTTACAGGGCAGACATGGAGTGGCCCTCATGCACATGCTGTTGCCTTAGTAACCATCTGGGCCCAGCCAGCCCCAAGTCCCATACCCATGGTCCAGAGGCTGGGAACTCAGGCACCGCGAGGCCCCACGTGGGGCGGTCATATCACACACACTTCCGGATGGAGGCTCCATTCATGAAACATTCTGCATCATGGGCCTGCCACTAGGGTCCCCAGACACAGCAAGGGGCTGGGGCCTGCCTCACTCCTGGAGCCCAGTGGGGGCAGGAGACCCGGGCCCCGTGCTGCTTCTCCCACCCTTCTGCTGAGTCAGGTAACCGCAGTAGGGAAAGGGACAGGCACAAGGATGACTTACGGTTTGCTCGATGTGTAAATTCCCTAATCTACGTCATGTCTGTGACAAGCCTGGGGGCATGGCTCTCAGCCATTGTACAGATAAGTAAAGGTCAACTAAGTGGCAAAGCCCCAGCCCCATCTAACTGCAAAGCTCAAGCCAAGGGCACTTATCACTGTTCTTCCTATCCCAAGCCCTAATCTGTCCGCACCTTAGCTGTATCATCTGTAAAATGGGCCTAATCCCTGCGTTTACCTCCCACTGTTTGAGGCTCAAATTAGTGAGCGGGCGCTGGAGTGCCCAGGAAACTACAGGGCCCAGTCGGCCTAGCCACAGTGCTCAAGTGTGCGTGAACCTTGCAGGGTCTACACCTCCCCACCTCTCACCTCTTCCAATCCTCTCAGCCATCGCAGGGGAAAGTTCTCTCATGGCCTGATGACAGCTGAAGGACTGGACATAGCTCAGAGAGTCCAAGTAACATGCTCAAGGACACACCGCTTATGATGAAAGAACAGACGCTGAAACCTTCCTGTCTGAAGAGACGCAGGCTTTTTCTGCAGGGCTCCCTGAGGGTGGGGGTCCCCAGAGACCTCCTGTCCTGCCGCCAGTAGAGTACCCTCCCTGTGGGGGGCCAGAGGCTGGCCTCAGCAGAGCAGCAGGACCAGGCGACATCAGCTTCAGGGACAAGATAGTTAGTTGTTCACAAGAGCAGCTTCCCCGACACCTGGCCATCCTGGTTCCAAACCTGTGACTTGGGTCTCCAGACCTGATGGGTCATGAGCACCCTCCTGGGTGGGCATCTCCCTGGCCCTGCTGGGAATGAAGGCCGGCTGGCCACACACACACACACACACACACACACACGCATGCACACGATGGCCCTGACCCTGTTGAGTCAACACACTTGTGTGTACAGACAACACCCTCCCCAGGTGGTCAGGCCACGCTGGGCAAGGAGCGACAGGCTGTAGGCCAGCGCACCAAGGGCTGGCCTGCTTCCAGTCAACCACTAACTCCAGGTGGGTCCTCAGTCTCTCTGGGACCCAGGCTTTTCAGCGGTGAAGTGAGGGGATTGGCTGGAGAGTCCCCAGGGCCGTGCCCTTCCCTTTAACAGTTGGGTCAAACCAAGGCCAGACCATTGTACCAAGGGGCCCCTGGTGAATGCTCTATTGTCTCTGACCTTGGGGAGTCACAGGCCAGTAGCAGGAAGAATTTGTTACATTCTTCAACTCGGAATACATTTTCCCTCTCCTGAAGGGGAGAAGGGTGTCCAGGCTGTCTGGCCAGCTCACTTAGTAACCAGGCTTAGCCCCTAACACCCCCAAACCCAGTGCTTACAGGCTGGGGCAGGAGAATACCAGCTTTGCAGCCAGCAGGCTCGGCCACTTGCTGGCCAGATATCCTGCACCTTCTTCTTCTGTAAGTGGTAACTGATTTTTACATTGCAGGCTGACAGAACTAGAATTGTGTGCAGGCCTGGAGATGTAGGCACAGCCCACACTTGACTGAATGGATAAAGAGGTAACAAGTGCACACGTAAAGCCTGCATTCACTGCAGGGCAAAAAATGGGTTCTGGTATCTTGGTGATACTCTGTTTACGTATATACAGATCTAGAGCAAACAATATATCTGTGGCATGAACATTTCATGGAGAGGGTGTGGGATGAAAAAAAATGCCTAAAAAGGCTCCTTAGAGGGAGTCATAATTTTAAAAAGGTTGAGAAAGATGGTCTTAATGCAAGATTTTTGTCTCCACCCCCATCCTGCTCCCGGGCCTTTGCACAGGCTCTTCTGCCTGCCTAAACCGCCTCGCTCTACCTTATCCACTTGAGGAAGTTACATTTCCTGTGCATCTACTGTGCACCAGGCACTGGGCTAAGTTCTACACCTGCATGTCCCGTAAGCTAGGGAGCAGTGAGAGCACAGGCCCTGGGTTCAGGTCCTGACTGTGCCACACCCTCGGTGGGTGTCCTTGGGCAAGTCAGTTCGTGCTTCAGTGTTCTCATCTACAAGTGGAGTACAGGACCCACTTCAGAGAACTGCTGTAAATACAAAATGAGCAAATATATGCAAAGCACTTAGAATAGAATCGGGCACATGGTGAATACAGGTGTTTGCTATTATTGTGCTATTCTTCTCTCTTACCTCAAATGAGTAAGCAGAGGCTGCGTAGGGTTGGACGATCTACTTTCCTACTTGCTAGTTAGTGATAGAACCAGGAGAGGACCCCAGTAGGTTTGACTCCTGTGTCTGGGCTCCTAACCCCTATATTACTCAGCCCCAGACCATGCTGAGTTCAATTGCCGCCTTCTCCAGGAAGACTTCCTGGATTTCTCCATGTCTCCATAGGACCATGTCTGCCCCTCTCTGACAGCTCTAACTACCTTTGTTTGTCGAAGTCTGTCAAAGGGCTTTAAAGCCTCCAAGATGGTGCTGATCAGCCTCCAAACCCCCAAGACATAGGCCAGGCCTGGTCCAGAGGAGAAACCCCATGAGAATGTGTTACACAAATGCCCAATAGCATGACAGTGTCTTATCCACCCCACCCCCCACCCATCACTTCCACCCTGCCCTGCTGACCTGTAGCTCTCCTTCTCCAAGGGCTCCACAGTGAGGTAGTACAGGTCTCTGGAGAGGTGATACGGGTCCCAGTGGGGAGGCCCCTGGGTGCTGGCCTTGATGGACCACAGCAGGCCGAAGAGTAGTAGCAGGCCCCCTGTGCCACAGCAGAAGAAGCTGACTGACCTGAGCAGGGGACTGGGGGCCTCAGGTATGGGGTGCCCAGTGGGTGGGGCCGGCTGGCCAGGCTGAGCACCTGCATCTCCTTCACTCCACCAAGCAAAACAGAGTGTCCCAGCTACCAGAAGCACCATGCCGCTGACCGTCATGCCATAACGTAGCGCGGAGGCCGCTCGGCTCGCGTCACACGTCTGAACACAGACAAGGGCAGAGAGGAGAAAATGGGCCATGAGAGAGGCCTGCAGGGGAACTGGAGACCCCGCTCTCTGTCCTCCCCCATTTGTCTGAGATCACTGTGTAACCATGGACAGTTCATTTGACTCCTCTGTGCCTCTGTTTTCCTCATCTGTAAAATGGAGATGATACTTCCAACTTGGCAGGGCTGTTCCAGAGGCCACTGAGAATGTGTCCTAAGTTCCAAGCACCATGCCTGGGACCCAGCAGGAGCTCAGTAAGTATGTCTCTGTTCACTCCGGGCACCCACTCCCAGACCTCATAAGGCCCCATCAGCCTGGTGGGTGTGACTCCCCCCCACCCAGCCCCCAACACCTGCCAGCCCATCAGCTACAGGCTGGGAGGGACAAGCAGGCACACTTGTTGGCTCCCTTCTCCCAGTCACAATCCCAAGAGAGGTTGATACTTCCCTCCAGCTGGCAGAGGAAAGCACAGACCCAGGGCAGGTAAAGGAGCAGGTGTGAAGGAGGGCACTAGAAGCTCCAAGTTGACATCCACAACAGGTGGCCCCTTTGTGCAAAAAGATGTCCACCCCGGCCTTATTTATAATGGTCCTAGTATGGAGAAAGCCTAAATGTCCAACACAAGGACAGGGTGAGTAAAGCGTGACATCCCCCCTGGATGGAATATTAATAACCCATTTGAGAAAACAAACTCAGCACCAATGTTTAACAACTACGGGGGCAGACAGGAGATGTGTATATCTTCCTTTTCTCAGCTTAGAATACCAAATTATGCATGGTGGGTCATCTCCATCAGGGAAAGAAAAAATGCACAGGGAAAACAAACACTGGGAGGAAATCTGGCCCCAGATCCTACCAAAGACAAGAAGGGACTAAACCCACATCCATGTTGTCCCCAAAGCCAACCTCTAGGCCATTGCACATGCTGTTCTCTCTGTCTGGTAACCTGCCATTATCTCCCCTCAAGGCTGGGCTTGGCGCTCACCTGAGAAGCCTCCATTTAAACGCCAATTCCCTGGGCCTTCTTGGATCACAGCACCTCCCTGCCTCTGTTTAACTTCTCCTTTGCTTGTGCTCCCCACCAGACAGTGAGCACCCTGAGGACAGGATCCACATTGGCCCCATTCACTGCTATATCCACCCGCCCCATGCCTAGCACATAGTAGCTGCTCAATACACATTTGTTGAAGAAATTCCCTCAAGTGAGGGAAAGTGTTACTGGGTAAACCCCTGCTATGGGAAAAGCCCCTCCCCCCACCAGCTAAAAGGAGGGAGGGAGCCCAGGGTTCCAGCGGCTCCAGCATCCAGCCAAGGAGTGGAGGCCTGGCTTTGAGCCCATCAACTGCTCTGGGCTTGTTTTCTTTCCCTTATAAAGAGCAGGTTCTTTAAAAGAAGTTAATGAGACAACATCTCCTCTTACAAAATCTGAGTCAGTGAAGTGGGGGGCTGGGGAACTCACAGACCCTAGACTTCAGTGATCAGGAACACCTTCCAAATGGGGGCTCACCCAGCCAAGCGTGCTGAACCCAAATGGTGCCCTACTGTGCCGCCATTCAAGGGTGTGCTCCTGGGGGAGCCGAGGGCCATAGTAAAATGTTCAAGATCTAGTAGGTGAAGGGGCACCTGGGTGGCTCAGTTGGTTAAGAGGCTGGCTCTTAGTTTTGGCTCAGGTCAGGATTCTGGGGTCCTGGGATCAAGCCCGCATTGGACTCTGCCCTCAACGGGGAGTCTGCTTGAGATTCTCTGTCCTTCTCCCTCTATCCCTCCCCCCAATCACATTCTCTCCCTCTCTCTCTAAAATAAATAAATAAATCTTAAAAAAAAAAAAAAAGATCTAGTAGGTAAAGCTGTAGACTTCAAAAGGGCATGTTCCCAATTGTGTTTAAAAACATGTGTGGGGGCGCCTGGGTGGCTCAGTGGGTTAAGCCTCTGCCTTCAGCTCGGGTCATGATCTCAGGGGCCCAGGATCGAGCCCCTACATCAGGCTCTCTGCTCAGCGGGGAGACTGCTTCCCCCTCTCTCTCTGCCTGCCTCTCTGCTTACTTGTTCTCTCTCTCTCTCTCTCTGTCAAATAAATAAATAAAATTTTTTTAAAAACCCATACATGTGTGGACGTGTGAGATAAAAAGAGAATGTATACATGTAACAGGGGTGCTCTAGGCATTTTCCTGAATCTTTCTGAGCCCCCAGACGACCAGAAGCATCTAGGAAAATATCATCCATAAATTTCCTGCTGCTCTCTTCCTGTAAATCTGTGTATGGAGCAAGTGTCTCCCGTCTCCAGCTCAAGGCATTTATGAGGGGAACAGAAAAAGAACCTGACTTCTCCCTCTCTGAAGTCAGACAGCTAGGAGAGGCTGTCAAGAGGAAAAGCTGTAGAAATCAGCTTGGAAAAACAACTCCAAAACTCACAGCAAGCCGGTAACAGTTAATAAGCCCTCGCCGGTATACAGTGGCATCTCTTCACTCTCCCCACACCTGAGGTGGGTGATCAGGGCAGGGAAAGAAATTTCTGTTTTACAAATGAGGAGACCTAGCCCGGAAAGGTGAAGGACCCGGCCCCAAGCCAGAAACTGCTGTACTTCTCGACACTTAAAGAACTCTGTTCCACAGACGGTAACCTAAGGTGCTTTTAAGCTTCTATAAAAACAGTGGTTGCTCATTGTGAGAAAGAGAGAAAACCGCAGAGGGGAATGTGGATCATCATTAATCCTGCCACTCGAGATGAAGGTGGTCTGCAGGTGGGGTTTTCCTTCCCGTGTCTCCCTTGGCCTACATATGTGACGATGGCAGCAGCTGACGTGTACCAGGCATTGACAAGGGCTGGGTCCCATGCGGCACTTTACAGGTGGCCCCCGACTAATCACCACAACAGCATTACGGAGCTTCGAGGGTGACAGCTTGCCTGAGGTCAGTGTCAAATTTGAACCCAGTCCTGGGGACCTGGGGACCTTGTCCTGAGGAGCCCTTGGTCCTGATCCAGAGCCCTCATTTCACAGCTCCCCCTTCAAGACCCAGTCCAGACACCAACCACCTCCTCCCAGAAGCCTATGTGCTGCTGCCAGCCCCACCTCCCACCAGCCAGAGGAGGCCCTTCCCTGCACCAGACTTGTCACTCCCTCCAACTATGGCCAAGCTCGGTGACCTTGAAGGTGCTCAGCATTGCTGAGCTCAAATTCTGCCTGGCAGGGGAAAGCGAGTTGTAAAGATGAGATGGCAGGATGGCAAGCTGTAAGTGAAGCATGGTGACACAGAGCTGGACAAGAATGGACCCTGGCTCTGACATTGGGCAACTTACCTAGCTTCTCCAGGCCTCCCCTGGCTCCCTCTGTAAAATGGGCCCGATCACACTGTGTAACCAACAGGAGAACTCCACCTGCCACTTTTCTGTAAGAACTAAACCATCTCAACAGGAAGTGGTCCGAACCATCCCCAATCAACTGCCGGGTAAACTGAGGCCCTGACTGCCATGGCCAAGGCCACCCAGCGAGTTAGAACACAGGATGAGACCTGGGTGTCCATTCTGCACCGGCAAGTCACCGTAGTCAAGGTGAAGAGACAGGCGGGCTCGGCGTTAGGAAGAGCCTTGATGCTCTGGAAGGAGGGAGAGAAGTAAGCTTACACCCACCTCAGAGGAAGCCATCGGGAGGCAGGTAGTCAGGCGTGGTCCAGGCGCAGGGACCGAGGGGGACACGGTCCCCAGGACTGCAATCCCTCGGGTCCTGCAGGAGGCGCCCGGCCTTAGGGTGCGGCCCTAGAAGCGGTCTCCTAACCCGGCTCTCCCTGTTCCCCAAAAGCTCCAAGGTCCGGCTCTCGGTCTCATCCAGAGGGGTCCAAATGGCCCTGACCCGCAGGTGCCGGGCGTCCCGTCCGCTCCCGCCGCCCCCCAGGCGGCGCGGAGAGGTGTCCCGCCAGCCGCACCTTACGCGCGCGCCGGGCGGGCTGTGATCCTCGCAGGAGCTCTGCGAGCTGGTGGGGCGCTCGGGGCGGGGAGAGGGCGCGGAGGGGCTTCGCACTCTGCCCCCGCGCGGCCGCCCGCCCGGGACCCCTGCGCTCGCGCTCGGGCTTCGGATAGTTCCTGGGTGCGGGGGGCGCCGCCCGCCCCACCTCCTCCCTGATCCGGGTTCTCCCGCACTGTCGGTCCGGGCGGAGACTCCCGGATGGTTGGGGTCGGGGCTTCAGGTGCCACGCCGCGGGCTCCGCCCGACCTTAAAGCTACCTCGCGAGCGGGGAGGGCGGGGTTAGGGTGTCCAGGCCCGGAGCTGCAACCGTCTGGAGCGGAGTGGGCTGTCCTCCGGCCGTCCCCACCCCAATCCCTCCTGGCTACGCCACTGGGGCAGGCTTGGGAGCCGAGAAGGACTGGGTCCGAGAGGCCCCTAGGAGTGCTGAGCCATACCTCCTCGCTCCCATTTCACAGGAAGGGAAACTGAGGCCCAAAGAAGACTTACTGCATACTTCCTGGAAGTAACTGGCTTTTGCTTCTCAGAGCACTCAGTCTGAGAGCAGGCCCTACCTCCAGGACCTCACATCCTGAGCAGGAAGGCATTCTGAGAAATAATGGTTGGCATGTAAGAGCTTCCCCCAGCGCCTACCCGAGGTCTTGGCCCCAGCCCGGAGAGGCGGGGAGGGTGGGGCTTGGGAGCAGGGCTTCCCACTGCTGTGTGACCTAACCTCTCTGAGCCTTCTTTCTCCTGTGTTAAAGGAGGGCTCATAGTTCCAACTCAGGGGTCTTCCGAGCACGTTAAGTGCTAGGCTAAAGGCAGTCTGGGAGATAGGTGATTTAGGAGTCTGAAGGAAGGGTGAGCCGTGCATGCATTTGCAAAGTCTTCTGTGGGAGGACATCTGAGCTGTCCCAGAATGCGGGGAACAGGATATAGCATCCAGGATGAAGGAACAATACGTGCAAAGCCAGACAAAATCACAGGCTGTTTAAACCTTCACAAAATCCATGTAGGTCAAAAGGAGCCCATTCCTGGATGAGCTGGGGTCTAGGTTTTGTTTCTTTCTTTTCCCGCTGCCCCAACAAGCCAGGGGACTGGGCCAGATTCCCCTCTGCCACAGCCAAGGATTCCCCACGAAGCTGCTGGTGACCAATTGTCCTCCCTGCCCAGGAACACAGAAGGTCAGAACCGCCTTGTTGAGATCTAAGGCTCAGAGATGGGAAACACTGCCTCAGAGTCACAGAACAGGTTGGTGGCAGGACCCAGGCCCCCAATTTCTAAACTCCTTGTCTCCGAGGCAACTTGCCATCCAAGAGCATTAACGCTCTCTGAGCACAACCTCCTCTGACTGGTGGGCTCTTTTTCATCCTGGCTGTGTGCGTCTCGGGGAAACTGAGGCTCAGAGAAGCCTGCATAAACGCAGAGTTCAGAATCTCCAAGCTGAGACAGGAACCAGGCAGACCTCAAACCAGGACCTCCTTCTGCTTTGCTGTTCTCGATCTCGAGGTGGGGGCAAGCCCACAGGGACCAGAGGCCACCAGCTGCCTTCCTGGTATCCTCGTGGACTTGCTCCAGGGAGGCAAGAGAAGGGGGGAAGCTGGAGGCTGTGAAATTCCAGGCTGATTCACACTTGCAGGGGCAGGCATCCGTGCAGGGCACGTGGTCCTCACTGATCAAAACTCCCTTGCCCTGCCCTGCCGGTAGGCCTAGCAGTAAGTCACAGGTTGGTGAGGTAGAGATCCTTGCCTGGGCACACCCCTGTCCCTGCTTAAACCTGAGTCCCCTGGCCTGACCCGGACACCCAGGCCCTGGAGTTGGACAGGTTGTGGCTTCTGTCCCTGACTCAGCCACCCCAAGGCAGGAACACCCAGGCCACAGCCTTCTCTTGAAGCTGCTATTCCTTCTTCTCTGAAGTGGAGAGCATGGCACCTGCTTCCCAGGGTCGCTACGAGGTTTAGTTAAGACCTTACTCACAAGAGGCTGGCCTCCACGCACTCTTGCGTGGCAACAAGCCTCTATTTGTGACTCTCCCCTAGCTGGTAGTGACCTCCCTAAGGGGAGGGACCTGATGTGGCTTGGCTCAGGACCAGAGGGGGCTGGGACTGGATATGGATTGGAACCCAGGGATCTGGCCCCGTTCTGCCTCTGTCTTCCTCTTTCCCCACTGGTCCCAGAAGTTCTGGTCCCAGCCCCCGGGGTCTGCTAGGGTGTCTGCTAGGGTACCATGGTCGCACAGGCTTGGTGCACTTATAGACCCTTCCCAAAGAAGCAACCTCACAATTTCCCTGGCACCAGCTGAGGGACTCAGAGGAGAAAATGGGTCGCCAGCCTCTGTGTGAAGGGGGTGGAGAAGGGGGTTACCACTTATACCCACTTATTACCTGTCACCAACCATCTGCCTTTCCCAGTTAGCAGTCACCTCAGCTCAGTCATAGAGGCTGAGTGAGAGTGCCCTGCCCAGTGTTCATAGCTAGTAAATGGGGGGAGGGGTGCAGGGAGGAGGTGCTGAAACCCACACAGGTCTGAATCTTCCAGACCCGTAGGCATTTTCCATTTTGGCCATACTGTCCCCTCCTCAGTTCCAACCAGGACTGCAGCCACCACCTGGCTTCTCTGCCCCCAGATCATCTGCCCTTCGTGCAGCACCAGCCTGAGCTTCCAGACCAGCACCCCGCCCAGCCCCTCACCCACCTACGACTTTCAGTGCTCCCCATCATCCTCAGAATAACGCCCCCAGCTGCTAAGTACCCACCTCCCAGCTTCATTTCCTGTGCTCCCCTCAGACCACACTCCTGAATTCATGATCCAGGGTGTTGCAAGCACAGCGCCATGCCGTGGCTACACCTGGTGAGCTCACACCCTTCCCTTAAGACGCAGGTCACAGGTCACCGTCTCTGGATGACTCGTCCTCAGTACCTCAAAGCAGAACTGTCTAGTCCCTCTTCCAAGCTCCCACCGGACTTTATAGACCCATCCGCCCTGGCCTTGAGCACACCCACACCAATAAAACCACGTGCTTTCCCTTCCTCTTTTCCGATAAAAAGAAGTAGCTGGATATTGTAGGGAGTTTAGAATATATCGATAGGTTGAAAGAAATCAGAATATCCCCCTTCACAGAAATAGAACAGGGTCCAGCCCTGTATACGAAGAAAAACACTCCCCTGAATGAGGCCTCATCTGCATAGGTCCGCCCACTCCCTCACCCGGCCCCTCCCACTCCCACCCTGGCAAGCAGGCTGCTCTGGGATCCATGGTACCAAGTCTCATTTGGAGAAGCAACCAGAAATAAGCACTGGAATCAGACAGGCTTCTTAGGGGTGTTACGGGGATTAAAGGAGTTATTATAGGGGCGCCTGGGTGGCTCAGTGGGTTAAGCCTCTGCCTTCTGCTCAGGTCATGATCTCGGAGTCCTGGGATTGAGCCCCGCGTCGGGCTCTCTGCTCGGCAGGGAGCCTGCTTCTCCCTCTCTCTCTGCCTGCCTCTCTGCCTACTTGTGATCTCTCTCTCTCTGTCCAATAAATAGATAAAATTTTTAAAAAAAGAAAAAAAAGGAGTTATTATATAATGTGCTTGGCAACGGTGCTTGGCTCATAGTATTAGTAATATCGGCGATGATTCTTATTCTTATTATTATTATTATCATCTGTAAATAAAGAAGCAATGAGAGAATCCACCATCTTCTTGGAAGAGCATCCTGCCTCCTTCCTCCACCTCCTGCTTCTGGGACAGAGGTCCAGCATCCTTGTCCAAGATTATCACCTAGAGATAACCAGGCATTATAACATTGTGACACAACTCTTTTCCAAAAGGACACATTTTACAAAAATCGGATCATGCATTGCATATCATTTTAATAGGCTTTATTTTTATTTAACACAATCTGTCATGGATATCTTTCCATATCTCGCTGCATTTTATTATTTGCTGACATATCCATTTGACCTATGGACAGCATCTTGTGGGCAAGTATGGGCATCTCGTGTCCCTCTCCATACTCCCAGCCCTGTGCCATCTCAAGGCTGGCGTACCATAAGCCCACTGTGAATGGATGCCATGAACAGCATGGGCTGTGCAGCGGTGGGTTCTGTTGGCTGCCTAGGAGCACGGTGCATTTCCATAGGGAGGGAAGAAGACTCATGGAGAATGGGGACATCCCAGACTCTGCCAGCAAGGTAGCCACGGCCAATCAAGGCCAAGGAGTAGGAATATCTTTAAAGAACAACCTCTGAGCACATTCCTTAATGCCAAACAGGATTCTGAGGTTTGGCTTCGTGAAAGAGGGGGCTTAGATCAGCTTTTTGATCCCAGGGCAATTTTGCCCACAGTTATCCCTCAGAGGACATTTGACAACGTATGGAGATATTTCTGGTTTCAGCACCGTGGTGGGCAGAGGGACGCTGCCGGCATTCCGTGTGTAGTGGCCAGGGACGAGGCTAAGCAGCCCACAACACCCCCACAACAAGGGACAGCTGTCGAGTGCCAAGATTAAGGAACCCTGGTTGAGACTATCTAAGTTAGGCTTTGGAGACTGCCTCATTCAGAGGATTTCAGACAATGTCCCACAGGGAGAAGGAGAAAGAAATAAATGTGAATTTATAATATAAAGGAATATGAGGGAGAATAAACCTGAGAGTCTAGAAAGACAGCCCTCTTCTCTGTGCCTTAGAAAAATCTCTGCAATTTTAATGCGTAACTTCTAAAGCAAACTCACCAGAGCATCTCTCCTCTCTCCTCTTTCTCTCTCTCTCTCTCTCTCTCTCTCTCATATAAAGAACAGAAAGAGGGGAGCAGGCAGCGACCCTGGCCCCACTCCCAGCCAGTCAGAGTAGGGGCCCTTTGTACCAGGTTTTGCTACTAGGGAGTCAGTTCTTCTTTGGGGGAAAAACCCTGGAGGTGAGGGATGGGTAGAGAAAATGTTTGAAAAACATTGATCTGCTTTGATCTCTATTTTATAGGCCCAGAAAAGGAGAGTGAGTTTCCTGAAGTCACACAGCAAATCGGAAGAGAAACAGGAACCCAGGCATAGACTCCTTATGCCCAAAGCCATTTTTTTAAAATTTTATTTATTTATTTGACAGAGAGAGAGACAGTGAGAGCAAGAACACAAGCAGGGGGAGTGAGAGAGGGAGAAGCAGGCTTCCCGCTGAGCAGAGAGCCCAATGCGGGGCTCCATCCCGGGATGGAATCATGACCTGAGCCAAAGGCAGATGCTTAGTGACTGAGCCACCCTGGTGCCCCTATATTTGTTTTCTATAGCTGCATAACAAATTACCACAAACTTAGCAATTTAAAATAATACCTATTTGTTACCTCAGAGTACCTCAGGTCAGAAGTCCTGGTGGGTTCAACTGGATTTTCTGCTTAGGGCCCCACAAGGCCAAAGTCAAGTCAAGGTGTGGGAGGACCTGGGCTCTTATCTGGGGCTATGGGCAAGAATCTTGCTTCCAAGCTCATTCAGGTTGTTGACAGAATCTTGTTCCTATTGACTGAAGACCAAGGCCCCCTTTTCTCTCCGATGGCAGCCAGGGACTGCTCTCTGCTCCCACGAGTCCCTCCTGCCCTGGGTCCATTCCTGCCCTGGGGCTCCCTCCATCTCAGCATCGGA